GGGGGGCACCGGGAAAAGAGATGGGCAGAGGGGACCAGAGAAAAGGGAGGAGGTTCCAGGGAGAAGAGATGGGGGAACCAGGGAGAAACGAGGAGCAGAGGGGTACGGGGGAGAAGCCCAGCTCCCAGGAACCTCAGGGGTACCCTCCTGGAGCCGGAGCAGGTGCGGGCCGTGAAGCCTCAGAAGGGGTGACTGCGCGGGCAGTGGGTGGGAGGAATATGGCAGTAGGATACCTTACCAGGAAGGTCAGTTTTCCACCTTCACGTTAATTTTTAATTGCAACGGGTGTTGGGGTCACCTGGACCGAGTTCGGAGGTCATTTCTCATCCGAGTCTTAGAATGAAGCCGGACGCCCCTCCCAAACTTGGCCACAGCGCAGCCACTTCTGATGCCGCGGCTCCCACGCCAGCTCCGTCCCCACCCCACCCCCAACGTCGTGGAAAAAACCGCTGGGTCCCCGCTGCGCGTCTGCAGCCTCGCGACCCCCGCGCGGCGCGGGCCGGGTCTCCGCTGCTATCCGGCGGGACGCGGCGAGGGGCGCACGGAGGTCCCATCCGGGGTTGCCGGGTGGCTCGGCACCGCCTTGCGTTTCCGCTGGGAGATTTTAAAAAACGGTTTTCCGCCGCTTTAATCTTCTGTCCCCTTCCGGCTCGTCACCAAACGGAAAACTGAAATGGGTCACTAGGCCCTCCCCGCCAGCCTCCCCTGGATGGGAAGGACCAGGAAGCGGGGATTCCGGGGCGTCACCAGCTCCCGGGCTGCGGACTCCAGCCACCGCTCCCCACTCACTCCCCAACCCCCGGCCAACGTGGAAGCTGATTCTGGGGAAAAGGGGACCCAAGCTCGAGGACACACGAAGGGAATTTCCCGATTTAAAGCCAGGGCGACACAGCCGCGTCCCGGGCCCCTAGCGCTGGGCGCACGTGCGGGCGCAGGGGTTCGCAGACGCTTGGGCTTTCCGACCCGGGTAAATCCCCAGGTGGCGCGAGCCAACCGCTAGAAAGTAGCTCGGCGCTGGCCGGGCGGATGCGTCCGGAGACGCCTCCCCAGCTGGGCTTTGGGTTTTATTTTACCCTCTTCCTCCTGTCCCGGATGAGGTGAAAGACCCCGATGCCTCATTTTCGCCTGCTTTGAGGCCACACCCGGTGGAGGGATACTTAAGTGATGGGCCCGGCACCTTGGCCTGCTGCCCACCCTGCCCGTGACCTTCCCTTCGCCCTTGAGCCGGGCGGGGCCGGGCGGGTGCCGCAGGTGGGGCGCTGTGGCCCCAGCCCCGCCCGGCGCGGGCGAGTACGTGATGCGCGGCCCGTCGCCGCCCGTGCACCCCGCGCACCCCGCGCCCTAGACCCCGGGCACCCCGCGTGCGGCCACCCGGAGGCGTGGGGCCGCGCGCTCCCGGGAACCTGGGTCCCCGGCGCGTGGGTCTCTTGGAAGCCCCTCCCTATCCTATTGAAGGTGGCGCTCCCGGCTCAGTCACCGCCCCCGCCCCGCCAGGCTGCCAGAGCGGAGCGGGGCTGCGCGGTTTGGTATTATAGTAAAAGGACCCCGGTATAAACGCTCAAGAGAGAGAAGATGTGACGTGGCAAAGGCTGCGAGTGGGTAAATGGCACGGTGAAATAGATGCCATCACCTACATTACCTGAATAAACACCGGAAGATGTGCAGGTGGGGTCGCTTCCGGTGGCAGGGGCCTCAGAGGGGCTTCCCAGTCAAGCGGCTTCAAAAGCGCGCGCGTCCGGAGACGTGGGCGAGCCCCAAATAGGAAGCATGTTGAAAGACTCTTACCCCGGGCTTGGAAAGAGACTAAAACGTTGGCACAGGAAGAGGAACTGGTCTCTTCGTCTTCCACGTTTCAAGGTCAAAGTTTCAAGGTTATTTCAGAATTAAGGTGCTCTGTTGAAAAAAATGTGGGTCATTATTTTGAGTTCCAAAGTTTGCTCAACCGCCTGGTAGCTGGTGTACAACCATTGAAGCAAGAACACGGCAGACAAGATCAGCGTTTTCTCTGCTCCCTATCCTGGCCCTGGCGCTGGTGCGCAGTTATGAATAACAGAGCTCAGTAAGTCCACACCCCTTCCCGGCAGTGGAAAAGGATGCTTTGCGAATTAAAATTATATGAGAACATGGCTTGGTCGGTGTATTGTCAGATTAATGGGAGATGGCTGCTCAGCAGGTGCCGCCAGGCACAGTGGCCTGATGCTCTGAACCGGGCCATCTGGGCGGCCCTTGCAGAGCCCACCCTGGCCAGTCGTCTGGGCATTTTCCCCCAGGCAGGGCTGAGCCTGGTGCCTCCATTTCTTCTGGGACTTCATGCCAAGCGCCACCTCCGGTTTTGATCCAGTCTCAGACCTAATTGAATGTCTGGGTGCATTTCTTTCTGAGAAAGCCCTCCTGGAGACGTGCTCCCCAGGGGACCAGTCTCGGCAGCAGGGACTTGCAGACCCCTGGAGGAGGTTGTTCCTGGGGGTGCTCTCTGTTGTACCCCTATTCTTTTACCATTTTCTCTTGACTCCAAATGACATCAGTGCTTGCTTTTCCCGGAGATGGAAGAGCTTTGCCCACAGCTGAAGACCAAGAAGGATAATCTCAAAGTCTTCACTTCAGGACAGTTTTCTAATCAGATGTGAAATGAGGGTAAAATTCCATGTTGAGATGATGTAGCTGCGAGTCACTGGGCACATCTTATGTTCCCAGAGCTTTAAGGTTCTCCAGGCCTAATTACGTTCCTCCAAGACACGCACGCCTTCCTCTTGGAGGTGGGGAGAGAGACTCAGGGAGAGAGAAGTGACCTCGTTACGGTGACACGGCTCTGAGGTGGCGCTGGCAGGATTTAAACCAAGTTCTGAGAGATCTCAGTCTCACTTTCTGGGAGGCCCTGCTGGTCAGGGGCCCTTCTCAGGCGACGCTTTAACGTCTAATTAATACACAAAAGGGAGCAAAGTCCAGTTTGCTCAAAATTAGATGACTTTAAAGCAGCTTTAAGAACAGAAAATGGGTTTGCACCGTGAGAGTATCTGGGTGGCTGAATTGATGTAACACTTGAGGCCAGCGTGATCGAGTGCCTGTTTCTGCAGTGGAATCTGTATTATGTGGTGGTTGAAAAGGAAAGAGAAGAACCCCCCCCCCAGCTGTCTTCCCGACCCCCCAGCCCCAGGCATTAAGGAACTACTTCTAAGGCTAATTTTTTTCTTTTTCGTTCTTTGGAACACCTCTGTTGTCACATGGAATGTCTGCAAATTTAAATTTGTGTTTACTTTAACATAAAATAAGTTACAGGCCGGTGGACAGACTTCCCATGGCTAGATACCCACCCTCAAGCCAGCTTGTGTCACACCCCAGAAGTGACCCATCGCCTTAGACACAAGTGCAGGCCTTCTGGAGGGCCCAGTGCGGCCAAGAATGCAGAGAAATGGACCATGAGGGTGGGCTGAACGGGAGAGCCGAGTCCTTTTTGGCCTGTGGCAAAGTAAGTGTGAAGTCTGTAAACGGAGCCTGTACGAGCCCTTCCACGGATGGTTAAGAGTAACCAGCCCTTAGTGAGCCTTTGCTCTGAGGCCAGCACCAGCGCTTCCCCGCACTGACTCATCCTCGTCGCACACGCGAGCAGGTGAGCTTGGAGATGAACTGACTGCTGCTAGGAGGTTGGGCGTGGCTGCCGTGCGAGTGGGGCCCCGGGACGCAGGGCCATTCACCAGTGAGTCCCCGGCCCCCAGCTCAGTACGTGGCCCCCGGCAGGCCCCCAGATGTCTGCCGAATGTCTCCCTCCTGGAGCCTCCCCAAGGGCGGACCCCTTCCTTCTGCAAAATGGCAGGTGACTAGACATTCTAGCCGGCTTCTCTTCTCGTGAGCCACTTGGACGAATTAAGCCTCCACTAATCAGAAGCGCTCTTATCTGCAACAAATTAAGATTAGAACTTCAAAGCCGTCCTCAGACGTGTGAGGTGTCGGATGAGCTGAGTCGAGTGTAGATGGGTTCTCCCCTGAGCATGTGTTTCTTGAACTCAGCCTCCGGGCCCTACTTGGAGGTGTGTGTGGGGGGTTCCCTCTGTGCCCACCCGGAGCTCTGCGGGCACGAGGGCCCAGCAGGTGACAGCAGTGGGTGCCTCTCCTCACGCAGCTCCAGGCCTGTACTGTCCTGGTCTGTGCATGAATGTTCTCCAGTGGGATCTCGTCCACTGATAATGTAACCATTAATTTAGCAAAAATTATTGGGTCGAGGAGGCTGAGCGTTAGAATGATGGTGTTAACCCCACGAATGCTGTGGTGAGTCTATGAAATTGCATCCTTTTCTACGAATGCACATGCCATGACGTGACACATTCAGATGACCCTTAGAAGCTACACATGTGGTCCTCTTTCCAAAAACACATGCTTTCCCCCTTGGTTCCAGAAGACTCAAGGCTTTCATGCAGGACTCAAACCTTGTGTCCAGGAGAACTGGAGCTGTTTGACTCTCAGTCGGATGGGCTGCCAGAAGCAATTACACTAGAAATGGGAGACAGGGTAGCAACAGGTTAAAGGCAGGCTCAGGGCACGAAGCTGTACACCTGCTCCAAATGTAGTTGTGTTGAGTATGTTTGGATTGAAAAACAGATGGCTCTGTGCTAAGAACATAGCTGAGTTATTCTTTTCAACAAGCTCTGGACGGGGTTGTAATTCACTTGTGACAAAGCGTCTGCCAGGCCCATTTCCTCCCACCCTGTGCTCCACGGGGCTTCGCTGCCGCGCGCTCAGCGTGCTGGGGATCGCAGCGGTTGTGCTGGTCGGGACATGGAGCGTCGGGACACCTTCTCCTCAGGATGTATCCCCCCTCCCACACCTAAATTATTCACTTTACGGGGCAGCTTTCAGGAGAACTTTAGTAGCAAGAGCAAAATACGGCGCACTTCAAGTTTGTCTTCTGACACGTGCTGACATCCTTGCTTTGGTGCAAAGATGAAAACTCCATGAACTCAGAAAGAAACCTGTAAGAGGACTGAGCACCCGGCCTTATTTTTCAAAAGGGAATTTAAATGTTGAAATTAGTAAGGGCGTGGTTATAAGCACTGAGAAATATGCAGGGAAAATGGCTCAAAATGGTAAAAAAAAAGAAGAGCCAAGTGAGGAAGTTGATTATACTCTCCAGATCACATAGGAAATAAAAGGAAACCCCAATTATTTTATTAGAAGCAACATGGTCCTAGTTTCTTACAAATTACTCGAAATTCAAATTTTATCAGAACAAAATCTCAGGAAGCATTTGGGTCCACTGCCTCCCTGATCTCAAGGAAGAAATTATCTTTTTTTTAAATTGAATTATAGTCCATTACAATGTGTCACTCTCTGGTGTACAGCATGTTTCAGTCATACATATACATAGAAATACTTGTTTTCATATTCTTTTTCGTTAGAGATTACTACGCAATATTGAATATGTTTCCCTGTGCTATATAGAAGAAATCTGTTTTTTAATTATTTTATATATAGTAGTTAATATATGCAAATCTCAAACTCCCAGTTTATCCCTTCCCACCCCCTTTCCCCTGCAACCATAAGTTTGTTTACTATGTCTGTGAGTCTATTTCTGTTTTGTAGATGAGTTCGTTAGTGTCTTTTTTCTTTTCTTTTTTTGGACTCTACATATAAGTGATCTCATATGGTATCTTTCTCTTCCTGGCTGCCTTCACTTAGAGTGACGATCTCCAGGTCCCTCCGTGTTCTGCATGGCACTGCTTTATTCTCGTTTTGGCTGAGTCGTGTCCCATAGTAAGGGAAGAAATTATCTTAATGACTGTTTCACCTGCATGATAATTTAGTAAGAAGCTATTTCAGAGTATGTCACATCAAGAAAACAACTTCACAGTCTCTTCTTTTTATCGCATCCGTAGTAATTCTCTCACATTTCCTGTCTCACTGTTCCCCAATTTTTTCAAGATGTGTTTCTTTTTGGTTCCCATAACAAGTGTGTGCATTCCCGAAGGACCAGTGTTTAAACTTTTGCAAATGATAAAGAGGTTACCTTCCAACATGAAGAGTCTTACTAGGTAGCAGGGTAAGTTTCACATGGAAATCATTATGCAAGTTGTTTGAAGCCCCGGGTCTGGCTGCCAAAACAAAACTGAAAGGAAAAGGAAGGAACCCAGCCATGTCTGAGCACTTACTAAAAACAGCAGCTGCAGTGCCCTGCCCTCCCTGTGGGTGGACACCGCCAGCCCCCAGGTTGAGGGGACCCAGGCCGTGACCCCAGTCGTGGGTGTCAAAGAGGCCATCGGTGAACTTTGCTTCTCCTGTGGTCCCTGGTTTTGGTCCTTGGGGCCCTTCCTTGGGGGTGCCCACCCGCGGGGCCAGCCCCAGACAGCAGCTCGGTCCTGCTGCCCCCAAATTCAAGCGGAGAGCTGGCCCCTCCCCCAAGCCATTAAACAAGACCTGGGGCCCAGCGGGCATTTTTCCTCCACGGTTCCTTTTGGCGTCTCTAAGGCACAGCCTTCCTGCGAGAGGGAATCATGGCGGCTTTTAGGTTCAAGTCAAAAAGGGAGAGTTGGGTTTTCACGCCAAGTGCAGCTCGTATTAGTTTTGTTCCCTTGGCTGTGAGTTTAGCCACTCAGAGCCCGATTCCCTCTCCTCCCAGCCGGCCCCAGGCCCGCGGGAAGCGAGCCTCAGCCCAGGTGCGGGGCCCACGGGCCGTTATCCCTCACCTGCACCGCAGCTCAGCTGCAGGGAGCCCGTGGGTGGAGCGCACGCACCGCCCTGCGCTCGAGCTGAGCTCAGACCCGGACCTCCTCCCCCGGGACGGTGCTCAGGGCCCTCCCCGACCTGGGCGCCCCCCCGTACCCCCCAGCGTGGGCCTGCTGCAGGCCAAGGGGGTCTAGAGCCGGAGGAGGGCACTGGCCTCTTTCCCAGGTGAGTCGGGTGGACCCCGCAGAGCAGGGGGAATTCAGGCCGCGGGGCTGGCCTGATGGTGCTCAGACGTGGCAGGCAGAGGTCACGCCGGGCAGGTTTTTATTTCCCCATGGGGTCCCCTCTGGATCATGTCCTACTTGTCACAGTTTCATTCCTTCTGCTGCCTCTTGTCTGCTTCCTTATTCATGCCTTTATGAAGACCCCCCGAAATGAGGTCCTGAGAAGCCTGCGTGGGGAGGGCGGGGGCCTGGAGTCCGCGTTAACCGTGCTTGCGTCCCAGCGAAGCCGGGTGAGCGGGGCCCCAGCGTTCGGTGGTCAGTCTCTTGATTATAAGGCCACAGAAGAAAGTCCTAGAATCTTGGGGTCTGTGAGCAGGGACCTTGGGTAACTGCGTTACCCATTCGGTGAAGGCCTGTGGTCGGAGGCTGCCGTCCACCCCTGGCCTTGGCTGTGGAGCAATGCAGGTGGGAGCCGCAGGGGCCAGGCCGGTGAGGGAAACGCCCCCGCCAGGAGGCCTTCCTGGATGTGCCAGAGCCTGGTCGTGGAGGCTGAGAGGGGGCAGCGCTGGGGCTCCGTGGTGGTTCTCGGGGAGCCGCGGGCCGTGCTGTGTGAACAGGTGTCCAGGTGGGACCCAGCAGGTAGGAGGAGCCCAGGCCACGTGAGGTCTCACCTGAGGAGTTTGGCTTTCCAGGCAGCACGGCCCTGGGGAGTCAGGGAAGGAACGCGGGCATTTTCGAGTTCGAGAAAGGAAAGATGCTAATACAGAAAACATCTCCAAAACAGTGTGCAACTGCAGCCAGCACGAGACGAGGGCAGAGTGTCTGTGGGGCGTCCGCGCCCGTCTCCGAGGGCTTAGCGTGTCATCTCTGACCACGTCTGCAATTGTTTTTAACCTTGTTTTTCGGAGTTTTAAATCTAGAGCAAAATTGAGGGGTGGGTACAGAGATTTCCCATATACCCTCTGACCCTCACACGTCACACCCTCCCCACCGTCAACACCCCACCAAATGGTGCACTTGTCGCAGGTGACGCACCCACGTTGACCGGCCACATCTCCCAGAGCCCACAGTTGACGTCAGGGCTCACTCTTGGTGCCGCGCATTCTGTGGGGCTGGACCTCGTGACAGCGACATAAAACTGCTCCGAGCTCTGCTGATTCTCCCCCTCACCCCACCCCTGGCAACCACTGGGTTGGTTGGTTTGTTTTGTTTTTTGGTTGTTTTCTGTCTCCATAGTTTTGCCTTTTCTGGCATCTGTAATTTTTTTAACAAGAAAAATGTATCAATTACTCGTGTAAATACCAAACAAAAGAGAAAATGTGGTTTGAATCATTCTGGCCGTTGTGGATGACATTAGAGGGAGATGCGGATTCAGGGGAAATTTGGGGACGAAAATTTCAGCTTTATGAGCAGGAGCTGTCAGGGGTTTTAGGAGCATCCAGCTTTTGTGCTGGATACAGGGAAAGGAGGAGAGACGGGTGAGGGTAAAAACAATTCGCTGTGCTCGCTGCGGCAGCTCATGCACTAAAACTGGAACGATACAGAGAGGGTTAGCGTGGCCCCTGCGGATGGCACGCAAATTCGTGAAGCGTTCCTTATTTTTAGTTTGAGACTTACGACCGTAGCCGCTATATATAAAAATAGGTTTAGAAAAAAAGTTTCTTCTGTCGAGCACAGGGAACTATGTTCAATATCTGATAACAACCTTCAGTGAAAAAAAATGAAAACGAATCTATGTCTGCATATGCATAACTGGGACACTGTGCTGTGCACCGGAAATGGACACACTGTAACTGCCTGTACTTCAATTTTTTAAAAAGTGATTTATTACATCTTGAAATGCTGAGTTTGAGGTGAGAGACAACCAGGTCATTCAGATTCTTCGTGTAAGTAAATTAATTTTGAACGTGAAGTGAGACTACCAAATATACAATGTCTACACGTATATAGACACTAGATTACATTTAACATGAATTTATTTCCAAGATACACACTGCCGAGTTTTTTCAGCCTGTGAACACTGCAGCCTTTCAAAACTGTCACCTTTCAGAGGCAGCGGTCTTATCCCGGCTTCTCAGACCTGGCTCAGCACAATTTGGAAATTCATAACCATCTTCCGAGCGGGTTTGCCACACCAGTGCACACAGATTTAATCTCCTTGTCTGCTGAGCACATTCCTGGTACCCACAGTGGCTTCATTTGTTTCTTTAGTTTCCAGAAGCACCACTTACTTCATGGTCCATGTTCTCCAGCATCTTTAGTCCTGACATTTTGTTGCTGAAATCTGAGTTTACGAAGGAGGCAGCTTGGAACTGCTGGGGTCCCAGGAGCACTAGGCGGGATGCCCGGGGCTGCGTATTCTGAGGCTCGGGGCTGTACCCTTTCCCAGAGGAGTGGTCCTTCCTTTTCACTGCTCTCCCGACAGCCTCACTCATCAGCTGAGATGAAGGACAGGGTTTTACAGATGTGAAGTCCTGACCAGTTCACGCAGTCTAGGCTGTGGTTCCCTCGCACAGGTGGCTGCCCCTAAACGGAGTCACTGGAAAGCAAAACGGGGTGCTGCAGCTTCATGAAAGGAGACCTCGCACTTCTAATTTCCTTGAAGGCCCCCTGGGGAAGAGTGGAAAATGGCCTAGATTTGTCTTGATTAGGTGTTATTTCTAGTATATTGGTTCAATTTGATTTTTCTTCTAAGAAAATTGCATGACTTGTTTTGTATTTCAGGCCATGGACTCCTTTTTTTTTTTTCTCTTATACTGGTAGCTGGTGATGATTTATTTTTCATCTCCCGAGACCCGTGGCCTTTTCAGTGCTGTTTTCTTTGACTTGGGCTCCCCGTCAGCGAACACCTGTCCTCTGTGTTGTTTTGCGATTAGATGGACACGCCTGCAGATTCACTCCAAACCGAGGCGGCCCGTGTGCCACGCACGTCGGCAGTGAGGCTCTGAACTGAGAGCCCAGGCTCTTTAGCAGTGGTGGCCGTCTGCGGACGCGCCCTCGGGAGCTGGTCTCTGCCGTGTGCCTTCCTCCTCCTCCTCCTCGCGCTGACACTGGAGGTTTGTGTCGCAACCACTTTGCACACGAGGAGCTTCCCGAGAGGTGACAGAATCCGCCGGTTGAACAGCTGCACTGAATCCGCCCCCCGCCCCGCCTCGTCAGTAACCACTGTCCCTCCTCCTCCGCAGGAATGAACGCCGCTGTCCGAGCTGTCGTGCGCATGGGAATCTACGTGGGGGCCAAGGTGTACTTTATCTATGAGGTCAGTGTCACGTCCCCTTGGCGCTTTCTCTGTCCCTCGGGAATCCATGCCTCATACTCGCTGGGGGCCTCACGCCTGCCCGGGGCCGCTGACTGCAGGTGGGAGGTGGCAGGTGGCAGGCACACGCTGGTGGCCAGCAGGGCAGCCCAGGCCCCAGGAGAGCCTCACGGGGCATCGGGTTACACCCCCTGGTCTGGGTGCACCTGTGGGAGATTTGCATGACGGAGGAAGGGGGCGGGTTGATGAGGCCAGACACAAAGTGCCGTATTGACATCAACCTCGTCTTCTGATAGATTCACGATCTCACACTGGCCGTATTTATTTGTGGTTCTCCTCCCTTATACAGGTGCTACGCTCACTCCAAACGGGGGCTGAACTTGAGTAAACATTCAGATAAATGGGGAGAAGCAGCGCCCTGAGCTTTTCATCAGCAGTGGAAAACCCAGAGCACCTCCCTGTATCTGTTTGCACCTTAATTTCAAAACGAAATCGAACAGCAGAGACGGCCTGTTACCTCCTGCCTTTGAGGGCCTGGCCACTTAGGAATAAGTCGTGTTTGGGGGGAAGGCACCCATATAGTTTGAAGCACATGATTTTGTTTCCAAAACTATTAGAAAAAATAACTTACGGTTTTCAAATTTATAAAACATAACAATTATACAACATAATAAAGCTTAAACCGGAAAGAAGAGAATAGGTTTTCTTTTAATTGCTTAATTCTTCCAAAGTGACTCTTAGCATCTTATTCTGATTCCTCCTAGTATCATATATGTGAAATACTGGAGGGAAATATGCACCTGATTAACATTGTAGCCAGTGTACTTTGGATACTGTGTCTTCCAGCTGCTGCTACGTTATGACGAGTATCGATGTGTTTTGCATACATCCCACAACTCTCGTGTAAATGTCTGTATAAAACTCCACCAGATCGATGTCTGAGCATCTACCTGACCCCTCATTTACTCACATTCTCACGCCACGGGGAATATTTAGGTCACTGCCATTTTCCGACTGTCCTAACGCAGCGAGCCTCAGTCAGTCTTCTAAGCGTTTTGTGGTTTGTGTCATCACCGTGGTCCCAGGATTCGGCACCTGCTGAGCTGAAAAGGGATGGTCCTCCCAACAGGTCTCAATGTGTCTCACCAGAGTGGTGGCTTTGTTCCACCCCAAGCCCACGCCGTGCGCAGAGGTGGCCCAAACCCTGCCAGCTCCGCGTGTGTGGCCCCATCTCATGGTGTCTGTTGACTGAGTCATTTTCTCCACGTGTGAAGTAGCTGCTCACAGTCTCTGCTCATTGATCCAAATGACCGTTTGTTGACTGTTTGCTGGAAAGATGCTTTTTCCTGGACTTGGGTTTGCTTTTTAAAAACTGGTTCTGCAGGTTTGGGGTTTGTATTTACCTGATTTGGGCGATGTTAAAATGGTGGGTCTCATCAAAGTCTTTCCAGAAATACAGTTTTGTCATTTTCTGTTGGGATGTTTTTCGGGTCAGACTGCCCTTGTGAACGTCCGTCCTGGGCCGCACCTGGCGTCCTCTGGCCCCGCCCACTGACGTAAGCGCATGCATCTCGGCCCCGGGCTGCAGTGGCCCACCTTACTCCGCCCTCCCTCCGCCCTTGGGGTTGCAGACGTGATGGAAAGTTGATTTTTTTTTTCCTGCTACGGCTGGAGAGTGTGCATAGAGTTTCCTCTGCCTTTTTATTTTATTTCACTTTGCAGAGGGGTTGCTCTGCCTTAGAACTTGAGAGCAGACACCACAGCCTGGCCTGACTGCAGTTCCTAAGGAGGGGGTGTGGTTTCAGGCACCTTCTGGGGGTCCGAGCACCCTCAGATCAGGCTTTTCTGGTATAAGTAACAAGATGTTTAAGGCTCGCTGAAGACGAGTTTCCTTAGGGTTCCGGTTTCCAGCACGTTCCCCAGGACGCCTTTGATCGCCTGGCCCCGGCCCTTCCGGTTGCCTCCCTGGTAGGGGTGCCCTTCCGCCCCCGCGAGACTCCCTTGATCTTCACCATGACCTTGCGGGTTGGGGAGCAGAGGGAGGAAGTCATTTCAGTTACTTCATTGAAGAAACAGACTTGTTGTGGGCAGTTTGCTTTCTCTGTGTCACTTCTCGTCACCGGCGAGGCTGGGACGAGAGCTCAGACCCCCACAAACCAGTGATGGGGCGTGTTTCATTTTTTGATCACCCCATTATCAAGGGGCAGCGGTGCCTGGAGACATTTTTTGATCACCCCATTATCGAGGGGCAGCGGTGTGGCTGGGCTTTTGTGGGTGGAGGAGGCCAGGGCTGCTGCCCAACTCCCCGCGGCGCCAAGGGTGGCCTCTGCATGTGGCGTGGACATTGTTGGGGGTGGGGCTGCGGCTGGGGTGCCGTCGAATCTGTGGGTGTGGGACCGACAGGGGCAACTGCCGCCTGTGCGCCGTCCCTCTCGGGTGGTCGGGCGTGGTGGGGTTTTGTTTGCCTGCTGCTCCGTGTCCTGTGCTTGCCCCCCGGGCTCCGGGGCTGTTTGGACGCAGGCAGACTATGCCCACCAGCCTTCGAGCATGTCAGGATGGGGGAGCTGAGGTGGGCGCAGCAGGCGAGCCCGAGCCCAGAGCGCTTGGGCTCCTTCCAAGAGCACCGGGGCCTCTTTGCGCACCTCGACAGAGAAGCTGGTTTATCCCCACATTGCCAACCGGGAAAGGGCACCCAGGCCCGCTTTCCTCGTAGGTGACGGGGGTCCCACTCTGGGGCCGCGTTCTTCGTGTCCTCTCTGAGTGGGGGTGAGGGGCCATCAGTCAGTGGGAGCCCCACTTCCCGCCCTTCCCACAGGTGGGTGGCGAGGAGTCCTGAGTGAACGGAGCCCGCCCCCTTCAGGGGTAAAGGGAATTCTGCGGTTCCTCCATCAGGAGGATGCCGAAGAGAAACCTCGTACGTGCAGGGTAGCGTCAGGATGGTTCTGATTTTCAGAGTAACCGTTTTATGGGCATCTCGGGGCGTCCGGCTGAGCGCAGCCTTTGGGGGTCGGTGCTGGGAATGACCAGAACTTTGAAGCTCTTGTGTTCGGGAACAGCCTAGAGGTGGGCGCATCAGAACAGAAGCCACCTGTCTGAAGGCGGGGCCATGCTCCTCGTGACACCCCCACCCCAAACAGAAGCAGTTCTAGTGAACAGGGTCTGTCCTTTACATCCCGTGGAACCAGGGCCCCCAGTGGGAGCCTCGCCTCGGGGCTGCCCGGAACCTAGGTTCTCCGTGGGCCTCCACCCACTGACTGCACTTTGACCATGATCAACACTCTCTGTCCGAATCCGGCCATCTCTTTTTCAGCACAGATGTGAGGGCCCTGTGTCTGTAATTCTGAAATCCAAATATCTCTCAGATCTGCCAGTTTTTCCCCAAGCCGTTTAGACAACAGTCCTCAGTGGGATGTGTGCCACCCAAGCTCGCCTGTCGAGTGTGACCGTCCCCAAGAGGGCACGAGGCCTGTTTATACTGCCAGCAGCATGGGGTGATGTAACGTCCTTACTGCTTCTTGAAACCTCCGCCTCCCAGATTCTGACACATCTCTCGCCCCGGGTCTGGGGAGGTGGTTGTGGACCTACACGCATACCTGGCTGAGTGGCTGGGGGTCAGCACATTAAACTTCTGGCCCTGGTTCCTCATCTGTCCCGTGAAAATCGTGTTTTCTCTTCCCGCACTTGGAGAAAGTCTGTGCACGGACCCAGCACGGGGGCCGCGATGCTAGGGGTGTCTGACTCCGCTGGTCGTTGCCAGGCGCAGAATCAGTGCTCGGATGAGTCACTTCCCGGTGGACCACCCCCGGACTGTGGGCGTCCACATGGGCCTTGGTCTGCCATCCGGGTCGCGTCCTGACGGACAGGCTTCCTTCTTGACCGCGGCACCTGCAGCTGGAGGTTGTGGATGCGCAGGCTGCGCTGTGCCATGGGCAGAGCATCCCTGCATCTGACCCCAGCAGATGTACCCTGGCTGGAGGCCACCGTCCTAGACCCCTTGGGGCTCAAATTTAGAAGATGTTTGGTTTCATTTTTTAAAGCATCGTTCAGTGATGCACATGTGGCCATTCCTAGCCTGGTTTCTGATTTCTCCTAGAGCTTTCAAGGTTCCACCATCAAAACAGTTAAACAGGTCGGCATAAGTCATTTAAATGAGGGGTGTGGGCTTCCTCTTGAGCAGAAAGGGTCTGGGAAGTGTGCTGATCAGAAAACACTGGTGTTTCTGCTGCAGGCCTGGCACAGGTTTGTTCTGCCTGGAGCTCTGGGACGAGGCTACGTGGGCGCGTGCCTGGCCCTTGGGCACTGTTCTGGGCCGGGATGGGGCGGGCTCCGGATTAACCCGTTCTCTCCACCTTATGGGCCGGTTGTTGGTTTATTTTTGGTTTTTCCTTTTAAGATAAGGCTTTTCCTTAGAAACTTACGAGGGCCTGCAGCTTCTTGGACATGGTGAGGGCAAGAGATGCCTTTTGCAAAAGACTCTCGCTCCGGGGGGACCACCCCGGGCTCAGGTGGATCAGAAGGGAGGTGGGGGGAGTCCTGAGTCACCGGCTGATGCTTCTCGGCTATAGAAGAGGCTGTGATTCATTTACTACAGGTTCAAATCCTATTCCATTTTCCTGCAGGTTAAAAACAAAGTCTTTATTCTTATTACAGCTCTTTAAATGTAACTAAGTTAAAAGTCTTTCCTCCTTAAAAGAACTGTCCACAGCTTGGCTCGCTCAGGCCTGGCGCTTGTAAGTAGCATGGCTCACCCACGTCTCCTCCGCACGTTGAGGGGAGGCTGGAAGTGCCCACCACTTTCAGCAGTGATCTTTTTACTGTTAAAAAACAGCTCATTCCGCATGGGTTGGAGGAGCCGGGACCTCCTACTGTACAGGACCAGGGCGTCAGCACAAGGTTGGGAGCTCATCTGTGGTCTCCTCGGCTGTCACAGGAGGTCTGGCGAGTGGCTTTCTTGCTGGAGCCCCGGGGCCCTCTCGGACCAGCCTGCGTCCGGGCTGCGCTTG